GAGTCTGTTCAGAGCTTGGCATTTCACCCCCCACCCCTCCAGGCCCCTTCAAAATATGTCGTGAGGCTCTTATTTGCATATGCAAATGTGGAGGTTTTCTCCCATCGGTGTGTTGCTGTTTGACCCCCTGCCCCGTTCCTGCGGGGGGTGTCCCTGCCTGAGGTCTGGGCGTGCTGGCAGCAGGAGCCCGTGCAGGTGCCACTTCAGCCACGGGTCCCCCCTTGTGAGGGCACCGACGGCGGGCAGAGGAGGCCACTCAGAGCGGGGTGAATTAGGGGCCTTCTGGTCAAGGGGCTGGGCCCTCTGGTCAGGTAACTGGGAGGCCCTCACACGTGGTTTTGGTGACAGGTGCATGAGAAGAGAGAGGACACGGGCAGGTTTTTATCCAAACATCCAGAGGGAGCAGCAGAAAGGGGCAGAGTGGGTCAGGCCCCAGCGGGGGAGCGGGTGGGACTTCTGCAGAGGGTGGGTTTTGCCAGCACTTGTGACTCACAAAGATGGAAAAGGTGCAGGAACAGGAGTGTTGAGATAGCTCCTCCCCAGAGCTGGTCCCGCCTTCCCCGTTCCCCTGGTGTGGCTCTGTTCTGGCAAACCTCTTGTTTCCTTTAATATTTCGGGAGCCTCTGCCCAGCCCTTATTCTCTGTTTACCAGTGAAGGGAACCCAGATGGACACACAACATCACGGCTGGGTGACAGACTTGGGCAGGAAGGTGAAAACCTCTGCTCTGCTGCAGGAAGGTGGGAACTAGCATTGCTTTTTAAATTTGCTGTAGGGATAAACCAATTGGATCTTTGTCAAGGACGTGGACAAAGTCGTCTTGTATCGGGGAGGGATGGACATTTTTGGGTTTTTTTGGTTTTGTTTGTTTTGTTTTGTTTTTTTTTTTTCCCTTTTTTAAGTGTGTGTTTGGGAGGGGAGTTCATCATTGAGTGTTTACAAGAGAAATGAGGAATCCCAGACAACTTCAGCACGGAGTTAGCTGTGATCTCTGCTGCCTCAGGGTGGGGACGCTGCGGCTGGGCAGTAGGTGTGATGGGTTTCTGTGGTGCCAGAGACCACCCCCGGGAGGTGCCAGGTAGCGCTGGGCAGAGGAGTGACCGAGAGCCGGGCCTCTGGGAGTCCGAGAACGCCACCTGAAGGAAGCAGCCCAGGATGGCTCCTTCTCCACATCCAAGTGCTCCTCGTTTGCATATTGCCTCATCCGCATATTAAGTTGTGCCTCATTTGCATCTGTACATAGTGCCGGTGGGTCGGTGTGCCCGCCCTGCCCCGCCCTGCCCTGCCCTGCCCGCTGCGGGGTGCCAGGCAGGGCTCTGCGGGGAGGGGGGA